TAGCCTTGTGTTCTTTTTCAGAATTTTGGCGTTTTCTTAAGATGGCCATAACTTAAAAAATTGAAGTCGGAATCAGCTCAAGCTTTCTAAACAAAATAAGGACATGAATATGTATCAGAAAATTTAATGAAAATTTGGATTGATTTCAGAACCAATTTTCGGAAAAAAACCATGGGCATTGGGTATTATTCTTCAGAAAAAACCTTAGGTATTTTTCAGAATTTTCACATTTTCTTAAATAATTGGTCATAACTTGAAAAATTGAAGTCGTAATCAGCTCAAACTTGCTACACAGCATAAGTACATCAATATGTATCAGAAAATGAAGTTAAAATTTGGGGTGATTTGGAAGCCATTTTAAAGGAAAAACCATGGGCTATAGCTTGGGTGCTTCTCAAAATTTTGGCATTTTCTTAAAATGGCCATACCTTGAAAAATTCAAGTCAGAATCAGCTCAAACTTGCTATACAGCATTAGGACGCCAATATGTATCAGAAAAAATAATAAAAATTTGGAGTGCTTTCGGAGCCATTTTTTTGACAAAACCATGGGCTATAATATAGCCTTGGGTATTTTTCAGAAATTTGGTATTTTCTTAAAAATGGCCATAACTTGAAAAACTAAAGTCAGAATCAGCTAGAAACTTTTTACACAGCATAAGGACATTAAAGTGTATCAGAAAATTTAATAAAGATTTAAGGTGATTTTGGAGCCATTTTTTGGAAAAACCATGGGCTATAGCCTTGGGTATTTTTTAGAATTTTGCCGTTTTATTAAAATGGCCGTAACTTGAAAAATTCAAGTCAGAATCACCTCAAACTTGCTACACAGCATAAGGACATTAATATGTATCAGATAATGTAATAAAAAATTGGAGTGAATTTAGAGCAATTTTTTGGAAAAAACCATGGGCTATATACAGTATAGCCATGGGTACTTTTTTGAATTTTGGTATTTTCTTAAAATGGCGGTAACGCAAAAAATTGAAATTGGAATCAGCTTAAACTTTCTACACAGCATAGGGACATCAATATGTATCAGAAAATGCAATAAAAATTAGGAGTGAAATTTTAGCCATTTTTTGGAAAAAACCATGGGTATAGCTTTGGATATTTGTGACCATAATTGACAAAAGGGCCCTTATGGCGGATTTTAAAATTGATAGTTATAATGGAAAATATCAACCTGTGAGTGCTTTGTTAGACAATCATTGTTTCTAAAAGTTTCATGGTAACTTTTTGCATCCTGTGGAGTAATTTTATGATAACTGGGGCTCAGGAAGTTGGATTTCTTAGGCTAGAAAGACAAATTTCCCTACCCGCCATAAGGTACCTTTTGTCAATTATGGTCACATTTTTCAAAATTTAGGCAGTTTCTTAAAATGACTGTAACTTAAAAAATTGAAGTCAGAATGGAGTCAAATTTTCTACACAGCATAAGGATATCAATGTGTATCAGAAAATGTAATAAAAATTTGGGGCGATTTTGGAGCCATTTTTTGGACAAAACCATGGGCTACCAGTATAGCAAGGCTGCAAAAGTAGTGGCAGCCATTTTGTTTGGGGGTGAATCCTACTTAGTAATGCTACCGCATTACTAATAGCCTTGGGTATTTATCAAAATTTTGGCTTTTTCTTAAAATGGCCATAACTTTAAAAACTCAAGTTGGAATCACCTACACAGCATAAGGACATCAACGTAGTGTATGTATGCAACATGTAAAAATATTAATAATAAATAATAAAATTATAATAAAAATTAAAAACAAGACAAATTTAGAAAATGAAGCAATACATACACAAAAGTACATGAATGTATGTGTCATTTCACAATTTCACTATCATTTTATATCAATTGACATATAAAAAAGATGATACCATATAAATTGTACTGTAGCATTTATAATTTAATTATTTTACTTATTAATTGCTGGACTATACACACATACTTCTGCATACATTTACAAGTCCTCATACAACATCAATCAATGTACATATCAACATTAGTTAACACCTGCAGACACCGACGCAACTTATTCAATTATAATGTGCATATAAGCAGTTGCTTTTGCTAAAAGGTATATAGTCTGACTTAGGCAGTCATTAAATCCATTCTCATAGTTCCTAGCAAATCTCTTTCTCTCCTTAAACGCTCATCCTCTCTTCACATTCTTAGACCTCAACCCTCATTAATGGTATTCCGCTTAAATACTATAGTACATTAATGGGGAATTAATATTGGTTGCAGTGAACGTCCACTAATATAAAATATATCATTATGTTTTATTCTGAGCATGCTCAATGGGATTTGGCTGCTAAATCACCAAATGACACCAATACATGTATACATGTGTACAGGAGTCCATAAAAAAGGGAAGGGTAGGAGCGCGCA